GCAATGTCCACAATAGCCAAACTATGGAAAGAGCCCAAATGTCCATCGACAGATGAATGGATAAAGAAGATGTGGCATATATATATAACAATGGAATACTACTCAGCCATCAAAAAAAATGGAATCTTGCCATTTGCAATGATGTGGATGGAACTAGAGGGTATTACGCTAAGCAAAATAAGCCAATCAGAGAAAGACAATTATCATATGATCTCACTGATATGTGGAATTTAAGAAACAAAGTAGAGGATCATAGATAAAAAATAAAACGAGACTAAATCAGAGAGGATACAACCATAAGAGACTTAATCATAGGAAAAAAACTGAGGGTTGCTGGAGGGGAGGAGGGTGGAGGGATGGGGTAACTGGGTGATGGACAGTAAGGAGGACACATGATGTAATGAGCACTGGGTATTAAATAAGACTGATGAATCACTGAACTCTACCTCTGAAACTAATAATACACTATATGTTAATTAATTGAATTTAATAAAAAAATTTAAATTTAAAAAAAAGTGCTCCACTCTTTTTTTTTAAAGATTTTAATTATTTGAGAGAAAGAATGAGAGAGAGAGCATGAGAGAGGGGAGGGGCAGAGGGAGAAGCAGACTCCCTGTTGAGCAGGAAGCCCGACACAGGACTCGATCCTGGGACTCCAGGATCATGACCTGAGCCAAAGGCAGTCGCTTAACCAGCTGAGCCACCCAGGCGCCCCAAAAATGCTCCACTCTTGAACCACACTGATCTTCGGGAAAAACATCCCCTGAATCACAGCAACCAGTCCCAGGCCTGGGGTACTCCCTCTGTGGTTCCTTTCTGCCCCCTCCATCCAAACCCCATCCATGCCCCAGACCCCCAGCTCTGGGTCCACCTGTATGCAGCCTTGCCCAATTTCACCAGCTCGGCCGGCTCTGCCAGTTCTTCCTTTTCCCTTGTCTGTGAGTTGCTATGCCCTCTGCCTGAAACTGTCTTCTGGGGCTCCCTGCCTGACCAGCTCTTTCCCATCCTCTGGTTCTCAGTGTCTGCTCCTTGGACAGACCATCCCCACTCATCCATTTCATCTAAAGACCTTCTGCCATCATTTAATCTAGTCTAGCATGGCACTCTGCTTGTGTCCTTCATGGCCATTAACACAGTCTGTAACGTCTGCTGTTTTCGTGTTTATGATTTCTCTTCTCAATTAGACAATAGGCCCCATGAGAAAATTTTCTGGCTTGTTCTCTGAAATATCCACAGCACCTAGTTCACAGTTTATTTAGCAAGTATATGTATTGTTTTAAGTATCTTTTTTCAAATTATAGACTGTTTCTTGTTTTCAAATACTACACCAAAAAGAAAAAAATAGCACGCATTTCTTGATTAAGAGATCCAGAGATAGTGATTCTAAATTAAAGGTGTTTTTTTCTCTATTTCAATCGTTTCTTTGAGCTACTGAGAGGATAATCTGATGAGGACTATCCAGTCTGTTCCTTTGATAACTTCGGCCTCATAAGCATAAGAATTCTTGCTTTATTTTCCATGAGCTCCATAAATTGAGGACATTCTTTTGTAAAAAGAATAATAATTTCAGGGATTATTTTCTTTTGTCACACTTCTTGAATCCTTAAATATCAGATTTCATTCTCAAGGTACTGTTTTCTTATAGGGCGTACCTATAAGAAACACAATAGAGTAACCAGGACCTCTATAGTGTTCTTAGAAATTACTGTGGTCCAAATTTCTTAAATATCTGTGACTACATGATAATGAATCTTTCACAAATTCTATTTTGGTTAATATTTCTAAATCCATATGTTTATTTTTCTAAATTCATCCTCTATTTTTCACTACTTCTCTTTTTTTTTTTTTTAAGATTTTATTTATTTATTTGAGAGAGAGAGAATGAGAGACAGAGAGCATGAGAGGGAAGAGGGCAGAGGGAGACGCAGACTCCCTGCTGAGCAGGGAGCCCGATGCGGGACTCGATCCCGGGACTCCAGGATCATGACCTGAGCCGAAGGCAGTCGCTTAACCAACTGAGCCACCCAGGCGCCCATGGTGTCTTCTTCTTCTTCTTTTTTTTTTTTTTAAGATTTTATTTATTTATTTGAGAGAGAGAGAATGAGAGAGAGCACATGAGAGGGGGGAGGGTCAGAGGGCGAAGCAGACTCCCTGCCGAGCAGGGAGCCCGACATGGGACTCGATCCCAGGACTCCAGGATCATGACCTGAGCCGAAGGCAGTCGCTTAACCAACTGAGCCACCCAGGCGCCCACTACTTCTCTTAAGATGCAGAATATTAACATTATTTTATGGATAAATATTTATAAAGAAATGATTCGCCTTCCCTCTGAAGGGATCTCCATAACTCTTTTTTTTTTTTTTAAGATTTTATGTATTTATTTTGAGAGAGAGAGAGAGCCTGAGCGTGATTGGGGAGGAGGGTCAGAGGGAGAGGGAGAGAGAATCTCCAGCAGACTCCTCGCTGAGCGCAGAGCCCCATACAGGCTCAATCTCATGACTTGAGTCAAAACCAAGAGTCGGACGCTTAACTGAGCCATTCAGGCGCCCCCAGGGATCTATATAACTCCCAACACTCTTCATGTCTGCCCAGCTAGTAACCTCATGCTTGACACTGCTCTTTGTCCCTCCTTATCAGCCTCATCTTTCTGGCTAGAACAAGTGAGATTTGAAGATGCTTGATGACAATGATGAAGGCATATTGCTGGGAACTCCACCTTATCTCGCATGGTGGTTAAATACTTAATAAATACTTAATTAGAAATAAACTTGTCTTAACCCCCTATGTTCAGTGTTCCTGTGTCAAAAGATACAAAAGAAGCTGTTCATGGGATTAAAAAATATATGCTGTTATAAAAAATAATTTATATATATATATATATATATAAAAAATGTTGGCCTCAAAGAGAAATCTGACCTCAAGTTTGAAACACACAGCTTGATAGGGTAGTAGCAGTAAACCACTATTTCGTCATCTCTGAAAAGTAGGCGTAGTCACAGAGCAAGTGAAAAGTTCAGTCCTAGACAAGTGGCGTCTTATGACCGGACTTTGTCTTAGAAGGTAAATGCATTTACCCCATGCTTTTAATCTAGATGAAATAATCATTCACCCAAAGAAAATGTCATCTAATTTTTAGTGGTTTCTATCATTTTTTTTTTCTGTTTAACTTTATTTGGTGGGGGAAGGGTTGTATTTGAGTGGCTGCACGTAGCTGGTGGATTTTACGGCAATCGGTAAGAGTCTCCCAGGACCGGACAAAACGTGAGAAAGTATATATAGTGCTGTTTCTATCTTGATTTATGCTCTGTCAAATGTTTGGGGTGTTGTTTTCAAACAGAAATGTGTTTCCTGCTTTTCTTGGCCTGGATCTGTAAGAATTTATTTCCCTGCTGCAATGTGCGACGGTTTTGTCTTTCAGAATGGGGTGGCCCCAGAATTTTTGAAGGTGTTTCTAGTAGCATTTTTCTGTGGGATGGTTGTAAATTCAGAGCCACTGATGTGAAGGTTAAGATTTTACAGAAGCCTACGATCATCTCATCTCCCACGTCCCCAGTGGCGAAGTCCAATATAAATTCATAGGATAAGACCATGCTCTTTTTAGGGCAAACTTATATTTCGATATTTAAAAAATACTCTATATTTTATGGTGCTCTGCAAAGAGCACTGTTGACTTTTAAATTAGAAAAGGAGCAAAAATGCTAGAAAAATTGTTACCACTGATGATTCTGCTGTGGATGGTGGGCTTCCTGGTCTCATGTCTCAGAATTCTCACCAGATTTCCCTGTCAGCACTTTATCCTAGATTATGTTATTTGGTCGATTCTAAAGACTTATTATTGTTGCTATTGTAAGTGGCACATGGCGATGAGGTATCCTTCTCCTGACCCTCCCCATGTCCAAGGACTGGAAATTGATTCACTTTTGAAAGCTGAATAAATAAACACAAATAATAGATGGCATTTATTGTCTAAATAAATTACCTTAAAATACAGCAGGTATAAGCAGAGCCAAAAATTCTTATCATGGGTGTGCCTAAATATGAAGCAAAACTGTGGTTTCCTAACATGGTTTTATTCTTTAAATAAAAGTGGAGACCATTTTTATCAACAACGAAACTGGTTAAGCAAGCTATCGTTCATGGCTATAACAGAAATACTTTTCACCACTAAAAATGCTTATAGAAAGTTTTGAGTGGCATGGGAGAGATGTTTATGATTTGAAAAAAAACTTAGTAAAAACAACAAAAAAGGAGATATGAAGTCTCAACTAGCTTTTAGGAAATTCATGGAAGTATAACTAAAAAGAAATACACTAAAATATTAATAATCGTTAGTAGGATTTCGGTGATTTTACTCTGCTGCTTTTAGGTACCTTATACTTTTTAGTACAAATAAATAAAAGGGAAAATACAGAAAAGTTAACATAAGAAGTAGAACCATAGCCTAGATAAGGACACTGACATACTTGAAAAGACAAGTATGTGAACAGAATAAAAGTTCTGATACAGCCTAGAGGAAGGACCTTCACAAGAAAGTGGGTCAAAGGTTACCCAGCACTGCCAGGGAGGAGTGAGGCAAATACTTTAGATCTCTATGATGTTCAATATTAAAATCATCCATTCATCTTCTCCCATACTTAGTTCAATTCAATGCCAAGCAAACTGTGGTTTTAACTGGCTTTCTCACGTGTTCTGATAGAACATGCTGGTGACATCAACATGTTCCTTATGTCATTTCAGTTTATACATCAGTCTCCTGTGAGTTAGTTGGTGTGAGTCAGTTCTGGACCAATCAGTCAATTCTTGGTGCCCTGCTAAGATCAGATTTGTGGACCTGCAAAGCTGAGGACTGGTTGCTGAGGTGTAGTAACCACACCATGTAAAGTCCATGACCACTGTCCTCACTAGAACACCCACCATGACTAGCCTCTCTCTCATCGATACTGCTCTGGTATTAAAATTACAGTCTCAGAGTTTGCCCCTCTGCTACCTTTCCTTTCTAGGCTTTCAAAGAGGAACATTTTTTATTCTCGGGAAGACAGCATGGGAGGACAGCATTCCAAACCTGAACCCAACAATGGTAAGTCCAGGACAGAAACCATTACCTGCCTCATTACTGAGTTAACACGGCCTGGATTAACCAGTAACTGTACTAAAGAGCTGCATGGGACAACATTTCTGAAGTTAGAAGAATCAAATTTTATCCGATGCCAGGAAGAGTGACAAGGGGAACCAGGGAGAACAATCTATCCTCCCAAGTTGAGTAAACGGTGTCTGTGTGCTCAGTACGAGACCAGCTGGGTAGCTTAGGACAATGCAGTTCACTTCCCTTACTGGCCCCCTGTTTATGGCACCAGCCTTGGGAGAGCTCACTATGACTGCCTTTGGCTAGTCACTGTTAGAAGCCGCCCTGCAAACAAAGGAACAAACTAAAAAAGGCAGCAGTTTCCAAGGTCAAGTTCCCCAAAACTTTGGGAAATGCTAGTTCTGGGTTTTGCTTTTGGTTCTCCATTCCCTGGCCTTGACATTGTCTGCTTCTGTCCAAGGAAGCTCATCTCCCCGGGGTCCATTAAATCTTGGAGGGAGAGACAGGAGATGTGTTTGTTTGTCAAAGGGGCACATGGAGCGGCAGAAACACAAGGCTCCTCTTCCACGTGGGTAGCTGATTGTTTTCTCAGTTCTAACTCTAGTTTTCAAGTTAAAGGATCCAGGATGCGAAACATCATCCTCTCCTTTTGCAGGGTGGGGCCCTCCATCGTTTACCTTCCCTGGCTCCTTGGACAGGGTGGGGCACCTGGGGACATCTGAGCTGAAGACCCAGGAGCCATGGCAGAGACACTAAGCCCCTTTGTGCTCTCTCATCTCCCGCAGACAGACAAAGTGCCAGCACAGCGGCCCCGACAATTGCCTCTGCCCCCCGCTTCCTGGAACACACCAAGTAAGCCAGCACTCTCCCGCCTATTAATTCACCTTGTACCACATGGCAGTGGATTTTGTGCTGACAGCCTCGTCTGATGAGAGTTGGGAGGCAGGTCTGGGGAAAAGGGACGAGAAACAGTTGAAGAACTGAATCGGTTTTTTATATTTAGAGTGTGGGTCTTAACCCAGAGTGCCCCAGGGAGGGGAGATCCCTGGAGAGATTCATGAATCCCCTCAGCTCATTGAAAAACTGTGTGGATGGGCTTATGAAGATTTCTGAGGGGCACAGGAGCCCACAGTTTGCATTGAGGCCTCAAACAGTTCTGGAACCCCAAAGCAGAAAGTTGAAAAGCTGTGGATAAGAGTAAAAGTCACCGAACCAGCATGAAAGCTATTTCAGGGATTCACCCGCGGGCGGGAACGGTGACTCTCTGGCCTTCGGCAGAGGCCTTCAGAAAGCCCAGAGGGTCATCTGCTCCCTTTCTTTGCCAAAACAGCATACAGCATTTGGTCTTAGCCTTTTTCGCGGGGGTCCTACTGACGCTGCTGCTGCTGGTCCTTATCTTCCTCATCAGAAAGAGCTACAGGAAATGTAAGTGGTCCCCGAGAGCTGGGACAGCTCTTCTGGCTCTGACACTGAGAACAGCTGGGGGGGAGTAAAAGCCTGGTCCCTTACCTTGTCTGCAGACTGAGGACCTGAATCCCTTTGCTTCTCTCCCTGCCCCCCCCGCCCCTCCACTTTTGCCATCTCCAACACCCACCCCTGCACCCCAGCCTGCAGAGAGAGGCTTCCCATTCCTCCAGGCCCCACTGGTGAGACTTATCCCTCTCTTTCCTGGCATCTGTGGCAGGTCACTCCAGTCCCTGGGCCCTGAATCCTCCCTTAGACCCTCACTCCAGCCGAGATCCTCCGGCCAAGGTAAGATGACCACACTGCTTCTGGGACACTGGGCACGTGCATCTTCTGACCTCTTTGATCCTCTGTGACCCCAGCCTCTGAGTGGCTTCTAAAGAGACACCTTCCTCCAAATTGAACTCACTTATTCCTCCTTCTTCCTCTGCAGCTTTCATCCCCGGAGGAAGCACTTACCTATGCGAGCGTAGCTTTCAAAATCTCAGAAGAAAAGAGTGATCCCCTGACCAAGAAACATTCTGCACCCTTGAACCCAGTTGTATATGCTCCAATCAAAGTGACAGACTCTCCCTGCCTTTCCAATGAGGCTTGATGCCAGTCCCTCTTATTCTCGGTTCCATCTTTATATATCACTTACCCTTAGGACAAATTCTGGACCACAGCGTGGCCAAACTAGAGTTGGAGCTGTTTGGGTGGGATCTGGAAATGTTAGCCAGCAATTGTGAAGACCGAGGGGGAGTCCTTCTCTTGGCCTGAGAAGAGACTGCCTGCCCTCCTGCTTGGACGGACAGCCTGCTAGCCCTTTGAGGGCTGAGACAGCCTCCCTGGTCCCCTTCCAAAGTGTGTGGTACAGAGCCCAGCACACAGAGTGTTCAGTCAGTGCCACTGACCAACTTGGGAGAAGTCAGCCAAATGGGCAAGTTAGCAAGATTTACAAATAAAAGCAACCCCTCTTACAATGCTGGCTCCTCCCGCATCATTTACTTGTCTGGTCCTGTCACACCCAGAGATCCAGAACTCCCCACAGCCAGAAGCCTAACAGAGGTGATGGTACTCCAGAACAAGCTCAGGATTGATGGGGGCCCAAGTTGCAAGCTTGGCGCCAACTAGCTGCGGTCTTTTGGTAAGTGTAACTGCTTCCTCATGAAAACAGAACTAATAACATTTACCCCTTAGTGTGAGAATAAGTGAGATGTCATCTCCTGAGGTACTTTGTACATCCCAAGAGTTTTATACAAATGTAAGATCCCTCTCGTATAAAGCGCTATTCAAATGTAGAGTCCACCTCTTTGCTATAGCGTAAAAGATACGCAAAGCGATGTTATATGGGAGCTAAAAATTTAAATGTTAACCCCCTCCAAATCCTAATGGATGATCCCACAGACAGTCCCAGTAAAAATACCAATAAGATTTTCTTTTTTTTTTTTTAAGATTTTATTTATTTGAGAGAGAGAGAAAGCACTAGCAGGGGGAGGGCCAGAGGGAGAAGCAGACTGCCTGCTGAGCAGAGCCCAATGCAGGGCTCCATCCCAAGACCCCAAGATCATGACCTGAGCCAAAGGCAGACGCTTAAGAGACTGAGCCACCCAGGCACCCCCCAATAAGATTATTTTTCCTTCAGTAAGGTTACTCTAAAGTCCCTGGTAGACAATAAACCAGAAAGCAAATCCAGGAAAATGTATAAAAAGAAGCAAAATAATATAGGAAGGCTAGCCCTAACCACTAACTAAAAGTACTGTTTTATCAAGCATGACTCATTAAAATGTTTTCATGGTTCATGAGTAAACAAATGGGATAGAATAAGAAGACTAGATACAGATATACATGAGGAAATTGAGAGTATGAGGAAGATGGCATATCTAGTCATTTGGGGGAAATTGGTTTATCCATAAAAGGTGTTTCGATGGTAGGCAGCCATGTGGATGAAAATAAGATCAGATCCACATCTCCCTCCTTAAATCAAAATAAATTCTAGATGCATCAAAAATTTAACTGTAAAAAGTAAAAGCATTAGGAGAGTATATGGGAGAACTTTAAAAATAGAGTGGTCCCCACCTCGGATGTATGACCCAAAGCCAATAAGCCAGAAAAGGTTGATTAACTGGACTTACAAAATACCGTTCAAAATGCCAAGCCTGGAAAATATTTGCAAAGCATCTCATAGCCAAAGGGGTAATTTTCTTAATATACTCAGAGCTCCTATAAGTCAGTAGGGAAAAAAATCAGCAACTCAGTAGAAAAAAAAAAGGGGGGGGGACAAAGGATGAGTCTGGGTTAGTCACAGAAAAGGAAATATAAGTGGCTTTTCAAAATATGAGGAGATACTCAAGTTTACTCATAATAAGAGAAATAGTAATTAAGACTCCAATTAGATGTTTTCCATCAATGAGATTAGCAAATTTCAGAAAGTTTGCTAACAAACCACTTGGGCAGGACTGCGGGGAACCAAGATGCACATACAACTGCAAGGCAGGCAATTTGGCAAAAGCTAACCATGTTTTAAATCCTATAGCTACAAATACATCCTGTGGAAAATCACCTGTGTAGTTTAAATTGTAGCATTCACCAAACTGCCTAAAACTTAGTGAGGCTTGTCATAGTCCAAGTATACTCCATGTGCTTGGCATGTGTTCATGGAAGGCTCACAAAACACTAGCAGGTTACAATTATTATTATTCTCATTTTAGAAGAGAAAGGGAGACACAGAGGGGCTGAGTAACATGCCCGAGTTCTCACTGTTAGTAAGTAGGGGTGCTGGGGCTCGGCTCCAGAGTTTGCCCGTTTTTCCACTATGTTCAACTCTGAAACAGTGAAAGAGCAAGAAAGCCCTCAGTGTCTATCCAGAGGGGACTAGCTAATGGAGTCTATGTTCTAGGAAGAAAAGAATCTCTAAGTTATGTTAAACGTAAGGTGCAAGCTGCTGAACAGAATTCTGACTGCTCTGCTCATGTCCAGGAGAGAATGTGTGTGTGCGTGCGTGTGCATGTCCACCTATATTTGTACATATTTAGTCTCTGAAAGGAAACACCGTCATCTGCTCTCAGTGAGTGCCCCTGGGCAGGGGATCTTGATAGCGGAGGGACTGAGGGGCAGGGAGGAGAGGAGGTATTTTCCCTTAAAAGCCCTTTTGTAACTTTTGAAGTTCTTCACTTCCCATGTTGAGGATCTTCAGGGGACCTGATACCTGGTGCTCCCATCCCCACCTGAATTCTGAACCGGCTGAGAAATAAGAGGACTCGGCAGATAGAGAACAAAGTACCATATTTATCACACAGCAGGCACTGGAGAACATAGCGTGTATGTGGCTGCAGGGAACAGGCAATCTCCTCCCCTCCCCACATCCAAATCGTGGCTCAGCTGCACCCCGGGGCGGGGGGCGGGTTGCAAAAGAGATCATGTGTACTTTGAAAGCTGCACACACAAGGTTAAAAAAGGAAGAAGGACGGCAGAGCAGGTTCACCCAGAGTCTGACCCATGGACTCACATCAGACGGGTCACTCCTCCGAAGGGGCATCCCTGAGGAGTGTTACCTTCATGGGGCTCAGTCTATAGCGAAGGGAGCGGGAGTGGGAGAAAAGCAGCCTCCACAAATCTCTTTTAACAAGTGTATCAGGTAGTATGTTTAAAAACTGAGGTAGGGAGGGGTGCCTGGGTGGCTCAGTTGGTTAAGCGACTGCCTTCGGCTCAGGTCATGATCCTGGAGTCCCTGGATCGAGTCCCTGGATCGAGTCCTGCATCGGGCTCCCTGCTCGGCAGGGAGCCTGCTTCTCCCTCTGACCCTCCCCCCTCTCATGTGCTCTCTCTCTCTCTCTCATTCTGTCTCAAATAAATAAATAAAATCTTTAAAAAAAAAAAAAACTGAGGTAGGGAAATTCAAGTTCAAAGAGATCAAATAAATGTAGCCATTGTCTCCCAGCGAGTAGGGGGCAGAGCAACACTTCCATCCAGTCCTTTGACTTCCGATCCCCTGCCTCTCACCTGCACACCAAGCTGCCCCACCCAGAGCAGGCCGAGTGGGCAGAGAACTTGCAAGGGAAAGTCAGGGGACCTGATCGAGAGAGCTCCTGACCTCTGGATTTTGAGCAGACGGTGGAAGAGTGGGCCCAGTGTGGGAGCGAACGGGCCAAGGAGAAACACGGTTTGGGGACGTGGTCTCGTGAAGAGGCCACAGCACAGCAGAGTGGCCGCCCCGGGAGGGCAGCAGAGCTCTTCTGTCATTGGCTGGGGGAAGTGTCTCAGGGAGGCCGCTCTAGATTTCACCAGTTCCCAGATTCTGGGCCTACAGCACACAACACTACCGACCTTGAAGTTAGAAGCCACGTCAGCTTTCCAGTTGAGAGCTAGTGCTTGCTCAAGGGCTCCGAGAGGAGTAAGCATCGTCCTAGGGCCACCCTCTTGGACATGAAATACCACACTAACTGCCCTTACCTCTGTTTCCTTGAAGCTTTCTATTTTTAACAAGAGGCCAAAACTTACAGAGTTTTGGGTTTTGTCTCCCTACCATGAAAACTGGTGTGCCTGTAGTCTTGCTGGAGGGTGAAATGAGTAATTAAATAATTGACCGTAGATTTAGAAGTTCTTCGCCAGGGAAGGGAAGAAGAAAAGGCTCTAGAACCCTGGTTTGTGGAATCAGAACAAACCTGTAGGATTCTCAGGGGAAATGGTTCTCCAGATACATAAGTATAAACCCTGCATGACAATATAGGTGTCTTCACGTATCATGGAAGATCGACGCCTGCTCTCTTGCCTTGGACAGGAGCATGGCCTAAGGGAGCCCAGACCGGTTTTGCTGTTTGTAGAACCAGTGGGTTTGTCCTTCAATACGTGGCCACGGAGGAGGGACTGGAGTTGTTTTGTGGCTGAGGAAAAAGGCAGCACTTTTGATGTTCTTGAATCTGGGACTCTGGGAGGGAGGGGGACTGGTCACAGGAAACAAGGAGCTGGCAGGAATGGGATGGTCCCCTCACCCCCACCCCTTCCCATCAGGCTGCTGAGTAGCTTCGAGTTCCCCACCGATGGAGGGGTTGGCATGGAATCTGAAGGAACCGTGTTCATGAAAGACGCTGTGAGAGCCTAGACCAAAACGTGCAGAGCAGGTGCAGAATCGTGTCAAGAGCCAGTCTCCTTGCCCCCGCCCTGCACTGACCCCGGGGCCACCGAGCATCCTGAGTGCTGAGACTGGCCGGGACTCTTGCTTATAAGACACCAGAAGAGCGGGGTTTTTATGAGGGCAATAGAGGCAGGGATGGGGAGCCCCTGGGAACTCTCTGAAATAGCAGGGAAGACTTCACATGGGTTGGGAAGGTGCAGACATGCAGGTGGGAGTTCTGGTGTTTACGGACAGTATAGCCTCCCTTGTACCCACAGCTGCTGATGCCTCCCTCAGTCTTGATTTGTGCTTCTGGATTTGACTGAATATTTCACTCACCCCACCTTGGTTTCTCACTGATCCAGAGCGGCATCCATTCAGTCTGGGGACAGTGTCCCATAGAGGATAATCTTTTCACCCAGAAAACCTGAGACCTGCTGGTTTGGCCTATATCCCTTGCTTTGGCAGGACAGCAGGTAATACCAAGGCAGAAATAAATATTGCAATATTGTACTTGAAACTTTTCCGGAAATACATTCTCCCGGGATACCCCAGGAGAAGTTAGTCGTACCAGAGAGTCCACTCAACACCAATCAGGAATTTATTGGCGAACCAAGGAAACACAAGTGATCTCCTGGCCCCCTGACCCAGATTCTGCCCCTCTTCTTCACTTGCTACTGCTGTTCTCAGCTAGCTGCAAGTGATCGCTGGCAAGTCAGAGGGTCCTGCAGAATACCTGAGAGGTCACAATCATGACGACTCTATTGCAGCATCACTTAATTTATAAACGAAATAAATCATCAGTCACATCTGTTCAGGATGAGCCATTTTCTGTGGAGTCAGGACACGTGAGGAGGGCTTCAGTGACTTGTCTACTTTGTGGGGAATAGAAAAAGGAAATCGAGTTGAGATCTGTTGCCTATCTCCGCTGCGTGTTTCTGCAGCAGAAGTTGCAAACTCTCTCATGGTGGCTTTATGGGGACTAAACACCACAGCTTGTTTTCAAGACAGAAATCAGCTGTCATTACTTGAAAGCTCATCGGTCAGTCAGTAGGGAAGCTTGGTACATGGGGTTTGCATTCACCTCTCACCAAGCTTTGGTGATTTAACGCCACTGGACCCCTGCAGAGCCCAGGAACATCAAAGCCAGAAGGGTCTTTGATTCCAGCTGCCATGTTCCAATTGCTTGAGTGTAAGGAAGTAGGCCATGGCTAACACAGGTCGCACAACTCCTTGCTCAAAAGGAATAGGGTTGGATTCCCTTGCCTCAACTTCCACAGCACCATGTGCCTTTCCTGTAGAGTACTTATGCTATCTGACAATTTTTCATCTGTGTGATAGTTCGTCTCCCTCCCACTCCACATTATAAGTGCTATGAAGCCAGATGCCATTTCTTTTGCTCGTCTTTGTATCCCCAGCATCTAGCATGGTCCTGTGCATTGAAAGAAGAGTGAATGTATGAATAAAAACTCCTGGGGAATATGAGAATGGGGTCCTCAATGTATAGAGAAGAAAACAGGCCCAGAGAAGTGAAAAGTTACCCAAGATCATGCCTTAAAGAAGTGACAATGTGTTTTGCAAACACCTACAGTACGATTGTGTCTCGAAGGGAGGGGTCTTGGGCACAACTGAGAAAGATGTTGCTTCGTCTACATTCCCCACCTCCACCAGTTCCTAAAGCTCTTAGAGGACAAAAGGGAGCCACGACTTTGATTTCTTAGGGCTCCTGCTCTGCCATGGGGCCAAATTATCACAGGGACAGTATGAAACCTCACAGCCTTAGCTTTGAATTCCAGATTCTTCTGGCTCTACCCTGTGTTTCAGAAGCACATGCTTCCAGGTGTGTGTGTGTGTGTGCGCACGCTCATGTTTTCTCTCATTCTCTGAAATGTTGTTTTTCTGCACTTCCAGACCCAGAGGAGGGGGAAGTCTGTTCATAACTTGTCTATAGTCTCTCTGTTGCCCAACATACTTCTGTGGCTTCTGAGCGTAAAAAGAAAAACATAAAAAGCTCTGCTGGCCAAACAGTGGCACTTGTATATGGTGTTCTTTCTACCTTGTGTCCTCTTGAGAGGTTAACAGAACCACCACATGGTGCTCTTGAGGATTTTGGTTTCTCTGATGCTGCCCTAAAGGAAAGGTGAACAAAAATAAAAGAGAGAGAGAGAGAGAAAGGAAAGGTGGGCAGATCCACATAGTCCCTGCTGAAAAAATTCCTATTCTCTTTAGGAAGGGGGATCTCTAAAGATCAGGTAACTGTAGAGCCCAGGGCCCAGGAAGAGCCAAGGAGGGAACTTATCAGAGGTGTGGGATCATAGAAGAAGCTTGACTGGTTTTCTGGCTTCTAGTGAGGTTTTTACCTGTAATCACCCAAAGGCAGAAGGAGGCACAAAGCTTAAGGGCCCTTCCTCTGGTGGCTGAAGACCAGGGCTGAGGCCCATGGGCCTGTCCTCTTCCACTCTTGGCCCTTCTCAAGGAGACTTTTTTATGTCTGCTTACCTAGGGGCCCCAGATGTCCTTTGACAGTCCCTCCAGGTGAACAAAAAGTTTCAAGCAAAGAGTAAATCTACCTCCCAAAGTTTGTGTGCTGGGGAGGCAGGTGGTCTTCCACACACTGGGACCTACAGTGTGGTTGTCTCAAGGCCTCCCTCCTCCCTAGTCTACACATACTCCCACTTACCAAGGCCACCATGCTCTCTCTGTCACCTCTCATGGGGCCTTGGTCACCATGAAGCAGAATCTCCTCCAGCCCATGGGCTGGTTGCATTGGCCTCCATGGGTCCAGGCAACAAGAGGAGGGTCACATTCACTCATTTGAAAGCTACTCCTTGGTCCCTTTCATTTTCCCTAATTCCCACTGCCCAGTGGCTACTTACCCCTTCTATTCCTTTGACTTCTCCTTCTTTTGGACAAATGACTGATTATAGTGATGATCCCCAAGCCTGTGATCAGTATGCAGATGATGAGAATGGACATCCTGGAAGGAGTCACAGACAGACTTCATGTGGCTCTAATTCAGTTCTCTACTCAGGATCCCCTTTCCTGGGATCTGCCCCACCCTCCCACCCCCACCCAGTTCCAGTAGCTCCTGGCCACCGTGTCCCCTCAAAGTGCTCCTGTCCCCCAGCCCAAGACTGAATGGACTTGGGCTGGTGGGTAGACCAAGCAGGGCCGAGCCCCTTCCTCAGAGACTAACACAGACTTGGAGCAGGAAGATCCAGTCCTCAGACTGGCTGGTTTCTTGAACAGGGGAGACATAAGCTTAGGAGCTAGAAACGGCCAAAATGAAAAGAAGAGAGCAGTGCAGAGAGAAAGGCAGCAAGCACACATGAGAGCAGCAAATTAGAGACTGAGAAAAAGTCCCAAAGACACTCTGGACCATTTCTGAGGGCACCATGTCCCGCCCTTCGCGTGTGAGACATTGCTCTCTCCTTAGGACGGATATTCCTTTTTAGTTAAAATACTGAGAAGACTTTTTTTTTTTTTTTTTTTGCTGCTTACATCCAAGAGTCTTAAAGTATAATCTTCTGAAAGAAACCACATGGTCACATTGAAGATCCATAGTTCAGGTGGAGAAGTGGCAGGTGCAAATCAATTGCCACGCTGTGTCACCCTTGCCCGCCTCACCCCCCAAAGCTGGTCTGTCCTCACCTGGAGTGATTGGCCTTGTGGACCACTCTGGAAGCCCGGCAGTTTCTGGTCTTGTTGCCTGATAGGTCTGCATCAGAAAGGATTTGCTGAGAGTCCAGTGAGCTGGTCCCCAAGACTGCCCTTGCCTTCTGCATCTCTGAGTCTCTGGCTGTCATTCCCTCAACCCTCAGAGAGTGAGTGTTCCAGACAAATGCTGGGCCAAGGGTGCCTTGCACGGGGCAGAGGGCAGAGGGAACAAGTAGGGGCTGAAATCCAGCCCATACTCTGCTGGCCAAGCCATACTCCCTGTCACTGGGCTCCATGCACCTGGAGGCAGGACCCCCTTTCCAGATTTGCCCAAAAGCCCTGTGTGGACTAGAAATGGCCCATGGTTAGAGAGTCCCAGGCTGAAGGCTCTGGGAGGGGACACCAGAGGCACAAGAGGGCCAGTCCAATCCTTAAGGCATGAGCCAATAGGTGACATCATTGTCACACTGTGCTCCTGACAGCCACCAAAACCCAGTGGGAGAACCTCTGCCATGGCCACCTACATTGCCTTCTCTAGCAAATCTAGCTGGGGAGGACTGGGGGCTTAAACTAAGGAGCACATTTAGGTGAGACCTCTTTCATCCCGAGCCTAAAACTATACAGTAGAAACACGCTAGGTGTGAAGGATGTCACCCATTCAATAAGATGCTTGCTAAACAAATGACTCGTTGCTCAAGTGTGAGCAAGACTCTCTTTCCAGAACCAGGAGGCTTCCTAGGGCTTCTCTTAAGTTCTTGGTTTGTTTTCCTACCGGCATTGTGCTCTGGACTATGATAGAAAGACCATCCCTCCTAGAAATGGAAACAACTGAGAAGGCACAGAAGGAAAAAAGAGAAAGGTGAGTGCTTTCCGTAAGCTCTTTGCCTGAGACAGAGGCTTTCTGATTTAAAAAGAGGTTTTGGGCATTTGACAGAAGAATTTTGGTGAGCATCTGGAGAACTCAGCCCTGGCCCAAAAGAGCAGCTGACTGGCTTAGATAGACCTCCCCCTACAGCCTCCAGTCCAACCTACACCTACCCAGCAGCCTCCGGGTGTAAACTGCACTCCTGACCCGTTTGGCCATGATCTTCACCCCGTTTCTGGGGTGCTCATCCAGGCACCTGGGTCATTTTTTATAGCCTCACTCACCTCTCAAGAAATGGATCTTCAAGCTTCTAGACCTGCAAGGCTGGCTACAGAGCACCGACATGTGATAACAACCTCAGAGCCTTTCCTGGCCAGCAACACAAAGCCCTCCCACCTGTTAGCCGCTATGAGCCTCTTCCAAATCCCATGAGCCAGATTGCTGTGAGGGAAGGAAGGCTCTAAGAGTACCCTGGAGCCCATACACACACCCTCCTCTTCCCCGAATTCCAAGTTAGTCCCCAGCCATCAGCAACCACCCTACTTTGAAGGGAAGGAGTGACCAGGTCACCCCAAAGAACCTAGGGGGAGCCTGATGTGGTGCTCCCCGGTCTCGGCGAGGATTTACCACACCAATGAACACGAACGACTGTGGGCTACCCCTGACCGGACCCCTGACAGACTCCTTACCTTTCCCAGACCAAAAATCACTGGCGAGGCCTCCTCCGTCGTCAGTCACAACCAGCTTTGTAGAATCCATGTCATCCCTGGCAAAGTGCCGCACCAGCACCAGCCCGCATCCTCCTTGGTCAGGCAGGACACAGTGAGGATGAGCTGGCTTCCTATGTCCCTCAGGGCCACGCGGTCAGTACTGTTGGGTGTGAAGGCGGTGATGGTGCAGTAGTCCCGGAAGTAGCCTCGGCACCAGTATTTGGGGTGGTCCTTATAGTGGGAATTGTAGCTGCAGTTAGCGGAAGCCGTGTCCAGCACAAAGCTTTCCTTGACCTTTTCGTCCATGACCATGGCATCTGTCAAAACACACGTGGGCATGCGTCCACGTGTACACATGCACACGCCATCGTTCCTTTAAACACATCGCAGCTCCTGCCATCCTCGAGAAAAATCAGTTAAAGCACAGGAAGCCGAGTTTTTTTATTTTGCCTGTTTTGGGTTAGCGGCTATTAGGGGCCACATAGGGTCCCCCTAAAATTCATATGTTGAGGTGTTAGCCTCCAGTACCTCAGAATGTGACTGTATTTGGGGATTGAGCCTTTAAAGAGGTAATTAAGTTACAGTGAGGTCATTAGAAAGGGCCTAATGCCACCAGACTGGTGTCCTTATGAAAAAGGAGCTTAAGATCAGACGACAGGCCGAGGGACAGTCATGTGAGGACACAGCAAGAAGGCCATGCAGAGAGGCCTCAGCAGAAACCAAACCTGCCCATACCTCGTTCTTGGACTTCCAGCCTCCAGAAATGTGAAGAAATAAATATCTGTCATTCAAGCCAGCCAGTCTGTGGTGTTGGTTCCAGCAGGCCTAACCAGCTACTACCGCAACCCTGGACAAGTCTTGTGCCCTGGCCTAAGGACCCCCTCTGCACGAATATAGGTGGCCTCCCACCACTGCTTGGCAGGGCGCTTGAAGAGTCCGAGGCTTAACTGTGAGCAGATCCTCTGCCCCTACTCCCTACTCCACTGAGGCCCCTTCAAAAGGTGAGAAGGTTTGGAGGCTTCTGCTGGCTGCATAGGGCTGAGAACAGAGGGAGTCAGGTTCTGCTCTTAGGAGCTAAGAACTTTCCATTTCCTCCGTACAAGGCCTGCAGAGGCAGCTCCATCATCTCAGGATATTGCGTAGTGAGGAAGTCATGCACACCACGTCCCCCTTGACTGTGGCTGGGGAAGTATCTGAACAAGGAGCAGAGAGGGGGGCAGCAGGGGCCCCCCTGTCTCTCAGCTTTCCAGAGGTGGGCTAGGTCCCTGCAAACGCTGCCTAGGACCAGCCTGCATGGCAGGCTCGCACCCCCATATGAATTGATACGACTTCATATTTTGTTCTCCTAACAACCCCACAAGGAAGACGGGTGATGCTCAGTCTAGAGGCCTGGGCGCTGACCCAGGGAGAGACACAGCAGCTGTCAAGGTCACCAGGCCAGTCCCCGGGGTCTCATCTCTGGGCTGGGGCACAGGCAGACAGCAGAAAGTCCCAGCCTTGTCCATCTGCACAAACACTTTTCGGGGAGAATGGGGAGGGGAGGAGAGCTTAATGCTGAGAGAGTCCAGAGCCTACGTTTTAGCTGAGGCTTTCAAATTCCTCGCAACTCTCTTTTTAAACATTTTTTTCTCCCCTCACTACCGTCTTATCAGAGCTAAGAACTAGGATGAGTTTGGACAGGATCTCTTGTCTCCTCCTTTTATTTTCCTATCCCACTCCTGCAGTGGTTCGAGCGACAGAACCGGCATTCCAAGTAGGAGAGGAGAAGGAAATGCAAGGAAATGCAAGGTGTTTGGGAAGTTTGGAGGCTGGAGATGTTCCTTCCCCATGTCTTACCTGAAGAGACAGTCAAGAAGAGCAGAATGAAGAACCCCATGACTGGAAGGAAGTGAACAACCTTCAACTGGAATGATAAACCATGCCCAGGGGTCCCAGGAATCCTGGATCTGTTTAAGGGAAACCGAGATCTTTGTGCTTCAGCTGGTTTCATCCTGTTTGGAGAGACCAGGGCAAAGGGAAGAACCAGTCAATCCAAGCAGTGCTGCTATGTATAGCTATCCAGGTTGTGCACTGCACAAGCGTACCTCATCAGAGGGATGCCATTTGTGGAAATAAACTTATTTATATAATAATATAGGCAACTGAAAAAACTGTGGGCTTCCTGGCACTCCCAAAACAGCAATGGAGATTCCCCCCTTGGATAAATGCACCCTGGTGCAACAAAGCCTTGTACCCACTCAGAAGAGCACAAGCACACACACCAGTGCTGGCACATATCCAGGTGTGCAACTGTGCCTGTCCTGCCAATGGGCCAGGTGAGAGCGCTAACTTCCCCGACTCCCAAGTGGACACTGAAGCCTCCCCCAGGGAATGGAGTTGGAGGGGAGAAGCACGAAGCTGTTAGGAGCAGATGCGCCTGGCATCTGGAGCATGAGTGGTGGACATGTGGGTGTTTGGGTGTCGGCAGTCAGGGCTGCCGCGCCCAGACTTCTTGAGAGCTTCCAGGGGCAGAGCCGGGACAAATCAAGATCTGTCCGTGCATCGAGAGAAGCTTCTCTTGGTTCCTATTGGGACTCGTGACCTGACAGCTGATTTTGAAAGTCTGAATTACAGAAGCACCCCTCCAGTAAATCTAGGCTGAACACTACCTATCACCCCCCAGAGTTAGCCCTCCCCATCAAGGGCCAGACGTGGATGAGTGTCCAGGTTGTTCAGCAATGTCCTCTCGTGGGGGAGGGGGCCTGTCTCTCATTCCCACGCGGTCAGCATGTGGGCCAGCAGCGGGCCTGCTTCCCACGCCTGTTCTACCTGTGCCTCATTGACTCCTCATCAAACCTCTGCGAGTTCAACAAATAAATCACAAGGTGGAGAAAAAGGCGGGGAGGGGAAGGGAAGAAGGAAGGAGGAATCTATCGATTAAAAGGGGCTTAGGAGAAATAATGACAAATTGCAACATATGGAACTTATTTGGATCCTGACCAAAGGTCTAGACAGTGACTAGATAGTCAATGATGTTAAGAAATTATTAAGTTTTTTTCAGATGTGATAATGACATTGTCAAGAACCAGTTTCTGTCTGAGGGGTGCCTGGGTGGCAGTCGGTTGAGCGTCGGACTCTTGGTTTCGACTCAGGTCATGATCTCAGGGTCGTGAGATCGAGCCCCGTGTGGGGCTCCACACTCAGTGTGGAGTCTGCTTGAGATTCTTTCCCCCTCCCTCTACCTGCCTCCTGGTCCCTCTCTCTCTCTCTCTCTCTCTCAAATAAATAAATAAAATCTTTTTTAAAAGATTGGTGGAATTATGAGTTCCTTTTTAAAAAAATTATAAAATCAATAAAAATAACCAGCCTCGAAGATGGCTCCTGGCATTCATGTTATTGTGCAATCCCCTTCAAAACTGAATTTGGGCTAGCCTGTGTGATCAAGAAAATCAATAAATACTGGGGTGCCTGGGTGACTCAGTCGGTTGGGCACCCAGCTCTTGATTTTGGCTTGGGTCATGGTCTCGGGGTGCTGGCATTGAGCCCTGCATCAGGCTCCATGCTCAGTGCAAAGTCTACTTGTCCCTCTCCCTCCCTCCCCTCACTTGCTCTCTCTCTCTCTCTCAAATAATAAATAAAATCATTTTTTAAAAAAGAAAAATTAATAAAAATTGCATAACAATTGATAATTCATATAGATATTGTGGTTGTATTTTTAAAAATCAGTTCTTATCTCTGAGAAAGCTACCTCCAAACGGACGCTGGGAATGGCTCAGAGATAGTGCCGTGAAACCAAAGAAAGTAGCAGCCAAAGGAGAAATGGATTGGGCACAGATATCAGTAAAGTGCCCAAGACATGAAAAGTAACATTCTAAAGCAAATGAGAGGCCCAGAGTTACAGAGAACGAACCATGTGTCTACTAGCATTCTGAGTATTTGTTGGTGCTCTTAGTTCTGCTGCTGCCTCATCAGGGTAGAATTAATTTTCACTCCTTAGATGTACAACTTAAGAAGATGAGTGGGTTATAACAATAAGCCAATTGATCATTTAAAAAATACCTTTCATAAAAAAAAAAATGTTTGCAGATGAAGTAATTTGATATCCAAAATTTCAAGATAATCAGGGTGGGACGGGTGGGTAGGGACATTAATGGAACAACATTGGCTGTAACTTGATCATTACTAAAGCAGGATAACAGCTATCTGAGGGGTCACTATTCTGGCTTCTTCACTTTGGTGTGCCTGAAGTTTTCCATCATAAATAGTAAAAAACAAAAAAACAAAACGAAACTCAGGTATGATGAGGTTCTGTTTTAGGAAATTGCCCGAGGTCACACAGGTAGTACAACACGATGACCTGATGCTAAATCTTCCACAATAGTACTCTTCCTTCTACACTAGTAACAACACGGTGAAAGCATAGAGACGTTAGACTTCACAAGGGGATGTGACATACACCATGTCATCTGAGTGGTCGGGGCAATAGACAGCTGTTTCCCCGTCCCCAGCATACCCAGTATGGCCTCCAAGGGCAGAGTGTCTCTAGAAAATGTGCATCTGGTTGTAAAAAACTGAATGTACCCATGGACAATGGCCAGACCATCTATAAAAATAGACCTCTGGACAGAACTTCTGGCCCAGGAAACCAGCGTCTTATCTCCAGTAACTGGCCGGGGAAGCCAGCCTGCTAGAGGTCAGATTTGTAGGACATCAGACCCTGGCCTCTAGCAAAAGTTCAGAACGCCAAACGATAATCCCTGTGACAATCAACCCGAAGTAGCTAGTAAAAACTGACCGCTCCCCAAATTTTTGTCCTGCTTCCACCTTGGGGCCAACCAAAGAAAGCCGAATGTGCTCTCCTAACCAATCACACGGGCTGCCCCACTTGTGTGAGCCCGCCCACAGCTTCCCCAGGCCACCAGCCTCCAGCCAGGGCGCAGCGAAGCCTCCCTGTTACCACCAGAGAGCTGGCCCACTCCACGGCCGCCTGTAGTCTCTGCCAAAATACGAGTGGCAGTGACTGACTCTCTTGCTATTGCAAGCTTGGGGGTGGCCTTTGCTTGTTCTCACTTGGTCTTCATTTACCCACAGTTGACTTGATTTAAAAAAAAATTAGGTATATAAACCCAGCTACTCAACATCTACCTTCGTTCCAGCGAATTCATAGGGAGAAGGAGGAAGCAAACCTCAGTATTGTCTGTGTAGTCTTTTTACATTATTCCTTGAGAACAAAAAACCGACGGCCACCCTCAGCTGTCCAGCTGAAAGGAACGAGCCAGGAGATGGGCTCGTCTCGAGGAGGCTCCAGCAATGCTAATCTCTGAACCTGAAACCAGGGTGGAGCTCGCCATTTCTACCCCCGCTCCTCACCAGTGATTCTTAGTTCATCTTTTCTCAGTCCACTCCCAAAGATATTCTCACTTTAAGGGCTTCCTCCGGGCCTGTGAAACATCTTAGCCCAGGGTGTTCCCATTTGACCGAAACAAAATAAAATATATATATATAAAAAAAAAAAAATACAACTCCCTGCAAACCCTCAGTGGGTTTGCTAAGCAGTGGTCTTCAGAAAGAAAGAGAGAGAGAAGGGGTAGGATGAGGAGAAAAGGAGAGGAGAGGAAAAAAAGTTTTTTCTGAGACTGAGAGACTACAGCTCATCTTATGACACCAAATGACACAGGACAGACTGCTGCTTTGTTTTGAGAAGTGGTCCCTTTAACGCAAGTTTCCCCAAAGAACAGGTGCTAAGTGTCGCTACAACAAACACTAGAGATTGTAAACTAAGAAATGCCTCTGTTTGGGACTGAAAACTAACCAGCACTTCCCTCAAGGGTCCAGCTGGGCAAAGGCAGCTTCTGGGGAAAAGCATGTACAAGGGTCACCAGAAGCCACACAGTAAACCCAGGGCATCGTCCTGAGGGGCATTTTAACAAAGCACAAAAATTAATTGATGGGTTGGGGAAAAGCCCTAAATCAAACAAGGGGATGCCATGAAGGGAAAAAATTGTGGTTTGGCGGGCGGCGCTGGGATTTTTAGAGAACAAAGATCCCCAAATGTTGAAGGGGAGACTGACGAGATGAAGGTAACCTCCCACACTTCCAGGGACAATGGAGGCAGGTCCTAGTCATTCACCTTTAAGATACGATTGTGAGCTGCGCAGGGAAGTGGGTGGGTCGGTGACCAACTCAGTTTGGCATTAGTAGCAAAGTAGATATAAGTCTTTAAACTTTCCAGACAGTGTTCATTCTTCCTGGGGTGCAGGGATTCTCGAGAAGTGAGGACCTTTACTGAGATGAAATGTTAACTAGATAAATATGGTTATTGGGCTCTGGCCTAAGATTGCCATCAGGATAAACTTTCAGAACTGGCTAAGAATTAATGTTTAAAAAAAATCTTAAGTACACTTATTCTCTTTGAAGTGGTTTAATTGAAAGCCCCATCTTGCTGCTCTCCTCAGGCTCATATACTCATTGTTTGGGGAGAGTCCACAGCTGCAAATTTGGAGAGACCAAACCAGAGATGTCCTCTTGAATCTCCAGAGCCACACACAACACTGGAAGGAGGTGACTGGGACTCTGTCCCCGCCTGGTGTCAGGATTAATGAGACATCAGAGATAGTACCTAAGGCAACCCCCCCCTCCAAAAATCCAGCAGTTCTCCCAGCATACAAACCATTGTGTGTATCCAGGCATCTGCTAATTGTCCATTAGGTGAACTTGAGAGGTTGAACTTTGGAGAAGTTCCAAGTCCCTCTTTGTGTCTGAGAATAGATGGTGAGGAGCTTGGGTTCTCCCAAAAGGCAGGGCTGAGTTTAAATCCTGGCTTTACACTACTTGTTAACTGTGTGACTATAGACAAGTTACTTAACCTCTCTGTGCCTCTGTTTTCCTTCTGCATAATGGACGGAACAATAATGGTGGCACCTACCTCAGAGATTGTCAGGAGCAGAAGAGCTCATGTATGGAAAGTGCTTAGCGCATATAAAGCACTCCACAAATAATAGCTATCCTGTGTCTCTTTTCTGCCTCTTTTGATCCTTCTCTAACAATTGACGAACAGCTCATCAAGTTGGCAAATGCTCCAATCAGCCCAGGAAAAAGGAGCGGGGTGTTCCAGGGCAAGGGATGAGGGGCCCAGATTCAAACAGGTGAACGTGGCGTGGTTCCCGGTGGCAAGCAGCTTGAGTGCCAAGAGCAGCCAGCTGGGTCTGTGAGCCCCAAGTGACCCTGACCCTCAGAAAGAGCTACACGACAGTCAGCGGTCTTTTATTTACTCAAAGACAGTTACAGGTGAACTCAGCAGTTTCAGTCCCCCTTTGTGACACTCTGTTCCTGCCATCTCCCTGGCATGTGCTGGTGTGGTTCCACAATGGAGTGGACCTGAGTCACCACCACACCCATGTCCAGCGGGATTGGGACCTTTCATCAGTTAAGTCAACGGGGCATCCTTCAGACTGACTTCTCCTCCTGTTTGGGGAGGAGGAACACAGGCAGTAGTAATAGTAAAACATTCTCCTTGAGTCAGGCATGCAGAACATTGAACCAGAGAAGAAAGACAAGAAAACAATTAGATTATAGGAAGGGGCTTTAGTGGAGGTACAAGTGGAGGCAGCCAGTCAAATGATCCCCACCTCAGTAGAAGAAATTAAGGACGTGAAAGCCCCTGGCTCAGGTGGATAGGTCCTCAAGTGTTTACTGATGCTGAATCCGAAGGTCAATGGGGTGAAGAGTCATCTTTTCCAGATAACTACTCAGAGGTCTGATCCTTGCTTGGGTCCAAGGAATCAGAGGACTGGCAGATCATACAGGTTTTGAGGATCAAAAGATAGGTCTCTTTGAACTTCTTTATTTTATAAGCATAGACAATAGGGTTCATCATGGAGTTAGCATGGGAGAGCAGAATGCCCAAGTACAGAAAAATCTGTGACACCTCACCATGAAAGTAGGTGATACAGTTGATGATGGACAAAGGCAGCCAGGACAAAGCAAACAGGAAGAGAACCAGAAACAGAGACTTGGCCGTCTTGAACTCCCGTCCATAAAATGCACCTGTCTCTTTGGAACTCGAAAAGTTCTGATTGAGTTTGTTCCGGATGATGTAGAATATGTCAAGATAGATGGCGCACATGACAATCAGGGGGATTAAAATCCAAGTGAAGAAGCTGAAGTAGACCATGTAGTCCAACCTCACGACAGAACGGAACTGGCAAGAAAGGAAGGTAGCATTTCCGTGGTACTCTGAGGTCAATTTCGTGTTCCAGCCAAACATGGGCGTCAGTCCCACCAGGAACGACACCAGCCAGCAAAGGCCCAGGGCCAACCATATTCTTCTTTGAGTGGTGATCCTCCTGTATCTGTTTGAATGGAAGAGAATGGGTGAGTTCATTTAGGAATTGCTAAAGGAAGGAGCGGGGGCGATGGGGATGGAGAGAGCGGGCATTCCAGCAAACTTCTCTGGGGGACTTTTTAAAAGAAATATGAGGGGCGCCTGTGTGGCTCAGTCGTTAAGCGGCTGCCTTCGGCTCAGGTCATGATCCCAGGGTCTTGGGATCGAGCCCCGCATCGGGCTCCCTGCTCGGTGGAAGGCCTGCTTCTCCCTCTCCCACTCCCCCTGCTTGCATTCCCTCTCTCACTGTGTCTCTCTCTGTCAAATAAATAAAATCTTTAAAAAAAAATAAAAGAAATATGATGTAGAATGTGTTAGACATATGTTGCCACTCTCATAGCTCCATTTCCAGCCCAAGAATTCTTTGGTTTGTGGAAGGTAAGAGTTTTCTATGTCTCTTGGGATCGCCTACCCAAGATGATCTTGTTTTGTTCGGCTGCAGGGCCGAAGGCCATGAGTTCGACTCTGCCTCTCCCACACCGCCCTCTACCTGTGCCCGCCCCCGTTTCTCTATTTGCTCTGGCAACCACACTTGGTGTTCGAGTCACAGGGCTGTATGGAGGCACAGAGGTCATGCTGAAGTGTTTCCAGGACCTCAAACGACTCGTCCAACGAGAGGCACCATTCCTCCTTCCGCCGTCCTTCCTGACAACATCCACACAGGCTGCAAGAAGGACACTGGGGTGCCTGGGTGGCTCAGTTGGTTGGGCAACTGCCTTCGGCTCAGGTCATGATCCTGGAGTTCCGGGATCGAGTCCCGCATCAGGCTCCCTGCTCAGCGAGGAGCCTGCTTCTCCCTCTGACCCTCCCCCCTCTCATGTACTCTCTCTCATTCTCGCTCTCTCAAATAAATAAATAAATCTTTAAAAAAAAAAAAAGAAGGACACTGATTTTGTTACGTACTGACTGTGTCCTCGGGAGACTGTATCTCAGTTACATCTCACAACAAACTGAAGCTAGTTTTACGACAATCTCCATTCCCTTACCGGTGACTGGGTGAGGGAGGATAACAGTAGTTACAGCCACCATTGAGTGAGCATAGACCGTGCGCAGGCATTTTCCTAAGAGCCTGATATGTGTGACCTATATAATTTTATGAGGAAGTGGCAATTACTGTCCCCACTTTATAGGTAAAAAAAAAAAGAAAAGAAACAGAGGCAACCCGGACAAGCTAGAAGTGGCAGAGGTAAAATGGAAACGACGTGAGTCTGAGTTCAGAGTATCTTAACCGCTGCAGGAAGACGAGGAACCAAACAGCAGAAGTCACTTGCCCCAGCTCAAATCTCAAGATCTGGCCTTTGAGCCTGGGCTTTTTAGTATCAAAAGCTTGTTTGCAGCTCCCTCCCCATGTCTCTTCCCCAAGAGCAGAGAGGAGGAGAGCAAGCCGATTGCCATTCAGGACACCTGGGGAATGAGATGTCTCCATTTGGCGGTCTGTTCTGTTCTGGTCTCATCACATGAAACGTTGCTACTACTTTCGGCAATGGAGAACTTTTTTTGGTCCCCTCCTCAACTTGGAAGAGGAAGCAAAACTAAAATAACTTTAAAATAACCTCCATCTGCAAAGAACAGAACCGTCCATTTATTTATCTCCTCCTATCCTTCTCTGTCTGCTCCTTATGTTATCCAGTAGGTCTCTATCATTTCTAAAACTCAAGAACATTTTTCACCAATTAAAGATGCATCAAGCTAGAGACGCTAATAAAAAAAATAGTAAATAAAGATGCATCAAGCTTTCATCCTCTTTAGCTATTCCCCAGTCCCAGCTCAGCATTGTTAAACCCCTCACACACCAAATGGGGCAAAGAAACGTAGTGCCCTCTTTCAAGATCAGAGGCCAGACTGGATGTGTTTTCAGGGAAGAAGCCCCATGTCCCAGGCACCTGCCTCACTGCCCCACTCTGCCCCCTCTTACCTGACTGTGAGTTTGACTCGCAGGTATCGGTCCACAGCAATGGCCAGCAGGGACATGATGGAAGCATGAGTGAAGATCAGCAGCAGGCAGGTCATGAAAAGGCAGTTATAAAAGTCGATGGTGATGCCCAGGCTGATGACAATGGCCAAAGGCATGACGAGCACCCCAACGGCGATGTCAGCCAGGGCCAGGGAGACAATGAAATAGAATGTGGTGGTCTGCAGGCTGGGGTTCAGCTTGACCACCCAGATGACCAGCAGGTTGCCCACTATGGCACAGAGCCCGATAACAATCTCCATGGTGATGTAGGTAACCTTGGCCAACAACAGGGCAGTGCTGCTGACAGCCATCTTGCTCTCCCCAAGCGTGCTGACGGGATCCGTGTGGCCCAGGGAGCCTAGCTCTTGCCAGGCATCTCGCTAGAGGTCCAGATGCAGCAGCAACAGTCTGAAATTCACGACTCGCTCATTCCTTCTCTTCTCTGGTGGGACACTCCCTTGGAGACCCCAGCTTTTCTTAGAGAGAGCCCATCCAGGGGCAATCACTTTCTGCCCCTTTGCGGGCCACACGTCCCTGGGCTCCCGGAAACGTGAAGGACAGTTCTATGTGGGTTGAATCTGAAAGTGCCGCTTCTCTTAGTTCCCCAGACAGACACGCTCAAGGGCCACTCGGGCTCCATCCAGATAAGCAACCCTCTTCAGGGGTGTTTCAGGAAGTGAGATGGGCCAAGAGGAAGCATAGACCAGGAACGCTCAGCAAGAAGATGGAAAGAGCAGGAGAGGGGTGTGAGTGGCATGGAGAAGGCTCAGAATTCATTTACTCGGGCACCGGATGGGAGTGTAGCGCTGCGTGGGAGAGCAGTAGAAGCACGGACTCGAATATTCTGGCTTTCTGCTAGCTTAGCAGAAAGATCCCGTGACAAGGAGGCAAATGGGAGCCACAGGGGAACAAGAACTAGATTTTGGTGGCAGCCTTAGCCAGAATTTATGGTTTCTTGGCGCATGCTACAGATTTAATGTTTGTGTCCCCCCTCCCCCCAAAAAATTTATAGGTTGAGATCTGAGCCTCAAAGTGACAGTATTAAGAGGTGGGGTCTTTGGGAGATGCCTGGGTCATGAGGATGGAGCCATCATGCATGGGATTAGTGTCTCATAAGAGACACCCCACAGAGCTCCTTCACCCCTTCTGCCATTCACGAACCAAGGAGCTGGCTCTCGCCAGACTCCAAATCTGCTGGCACCTTGATTGTGGGCTTCCCAGCCTCCAGAACTGAGAATTTCTGTGACTTATAAGCCACCCAGTCTTTGGTATTCTGTTACAGTAGCCTGAACAGACTAATACAGTGCAAAGCAGCAAGACCTGAGAATTGAGTGGCATGAGTTGACTCCTGGCCAGGCACAGCTGGGACCCAGCTTTTGCCTCAAAGATCCTTTGCCAAAGGAACAAGCTAAGATCCCCTGCTTAGAAGGGCAAAAAAACACAGCACCTCCCATAAGCACATCTGTTGACTCGACATTTCCCCTCGTCGGCCCCGCACACCCACTGGAGGTCTCACATGCCCTCACCCCAGCAACCATCCAGTGACAAACCTCTTTGAGGGACAACAGGACAACAGGATGATTGGCCAGGCAGAAAGGAGAGAAAGGGCCACGGTTGCACATCATCACATGGCATACCCTCCCACCCCCGCCCGCAGGGAGAGAGGAACCACACTGCTTTCCTGGAAGTTGCTCACCTAGTCTGCAACTTCTGGAAACCAGACACTTACAAGCAATTATGATTTAAGGTCCATGGAGTTCAGATGCGTCTCAGTCCTGCCCAAAGGGGTGATTTAAAGGAAGGGGTGGGTGGACCTGAGCCCGCACCGTGGATTGAAGGGTTTATAATATTTGCCTTAAACACCAACCTATGTACAGCCAAAACTAAAATTCAGCGCTATCAACAGTGCTGTTCACATCCTCGCCAGGGCCCTGGTGAGATGCCTCAGGCTGCCACTTCCATGTCACCCTCTGCTCCCCCACCCTCATCCCCAGTTGGCCCAAGCCTGAATCCCTTGCTCATGCCTTCTAGACTTGCCACTTCTCCCTGGGTGAACCCCCCCAAGACATGAAGGGGCAGTGCTCCCCAACTGCATCTCCGCCACCCCGGCGTTTTCCAGTGTTACCTATGCCCACACCCCTGCGCCCTGGGAGCTTGAGAAGTTTTGTCAGCCTTCAGCGTGGCTTCTCGTAAAGTTTCTACTGCAACTGCTTTCTTTATCTCTGCTTCAGAGAAGGAAGTCACAACCATTTCTAGGAGGCTGCGTGCTACCAAAAGAAGTCGCCCTAAAGCAACCGTTGAACCTTGATGACCCGCTGTAAAAAAAAAAAAAAAAATGTACCCTCCCCGCCAGCCCCTTGCCACCGGGTAGCACCCAAATAGCCCTATGTGAGAGAGAGACTGTCTGGTGTAGGGACGAGTCGTATTGCCCGGTTGGGGCGAATGGACAGCAATGGAGTGGTTTCCTTAGGGGCTTGGCTGCCCCAGGTCTGCCTCACAGCCTTGCTCCGCATTTGAGAGCTGGTCAGATGACGGGCAGCTCCCGCACTTAGAGAGAGAGATGGGGGCCTCTGTGTGGTTATGGGACAGAAGCTGGGTGAGAGGTAAGGTGGCTGAGGCCAGGAAAGAGCCTGAGCCATGGATCCAGGCACAGGAAGTGGACCGAGGCATTGGGGAACAATTGGACAGCTGGAGCTAGAAACCTGACTGGTGAGCTTGCAGATTCTTCCCCCTGTCGTCCTCCTTTAGGACACTGGTGAGTTCTTTTGGAACCAGCCCATCTGGGCTGGGTTAGAGACACCAAGGAGAAGGCTTTGTGACCCAGCACCAGTGACAAGAACAGTGTGGTGGGCGCAGGATAGCATGTGAGAGAATAATCCAGGGGGAGAAGAAGAGGCAGGGGCCACACTTGGGACACCTGACCTACTCACCTCTTCCCACCTGGGAATTCTCTGGAAATTTCCTCTCCGTGAACAAGACAGGCCTGAGCCCATCCCTGCTCAGGGAAGTGATTGGAGGGGTGAGGAGAGAGGTTTCTACAGTTACTTAGCATTTTGGCCTAGGATTGGGCCCTGAGCCAACTTTTCCCTCCAGATAGAGCACCAGAAGGCAGCCTGGAAAAGGAGACAGAGAGGCCAGGGCAGACGGTCATCTTGCTTACCCACCCCCCACCCCGCACACACACATGAGTAGCCACAGCTGCTCTTGGGTAACTTCCCTCATCTCTCACAGAGAGACCACCTCAGCCCCCCCTGCCGAGCCATTCCCAATGCAAGTGCCCTCACAGCCTCTGCATAGCCCTCAGGATCAAGTCCAGCCTCCCTGGAATGGCATATGAGACTGTTCGAGGGGGGGGTCTCCCAGCTTCTGCAGCCTCCTGGTGCCTGGATCTCCCCCTCCCCCCTGAAACCGCAAGCACCACTATGCTTTCGCTTCCTTTCCCCTGTGCACCCGGCTCAGAAAGCCCTTCTCCCCGTGCCCACCTAGAACACAAGCACTTTTCCTTCAAGACTGTTCTCAAACAGGACCCCGAAGAGAACTTCCCAGACATCCCCTCCCCATGCTGTTTATAAGCCCCCTCCCCTGTTATCTCGCAAGCTTCTGAAACGTAGGGACCTCCTACAACCTGGAAAAAAGTTTATTTCATTTCTAGCCCCACCACATTGCCTGGCAGATGGCAGTGCTCAAGTATATTTTTGCTAAATGAATGACTAGGAAAGCACCTCAGTGACCCAGAGGGCATCAGCTTGGCACTGGGTATAGAATACCACTGGGTGTCAACAGCTGGGACCTGTTAAGTACGTTCCTTTATACCATCTAGAGTGCTGAGCATTTTACTTTCATGGTCTTATTCAACGTTCTATGATGAAATAGATACTATAATCACTGCGGAGCAAACTAAGGCTCAGAGAGGTGATGTAATTTGCCCCGAGTGGCACAGCTAGGAAGTGGCAGAGCCCGCATTCAATCCCAGGCTCCTGGCTTCAGTAAATGAATGGACAAGCGAACAACCATGGGCAGCTTTCACAAGTACAAGGCGTCCCTGGACTTGATGTTGCCATATTATCAACTGGACGTCCTAACCCCACACCTGGAAAAGGAAGTGGTGACCAGGACCGTGGAAGAGAGCACAAGTGCCATGTAGGTGTGGCACCTGCTCTGAATTACAAAGACGTGGAGAAACCAGCAGGCCACTTGGTGGGGCCCCATGGGGAGCTCTGGGGCAGAAAGAAAATCTTTCATTGGACCAGAGTGCTAAAACTATTTTTTTAATAATAAAATAAATTATAAGGGAGACGTGGCTCAGGGAATTTCCCTCTCTAAGAGAAGGGCTATGTCTGTTTCGGTTTTACTAGAAGAACCTGGACTCCACAGAGGAGGCAAGGACCAGGGAGGACCCATCAAGCTGAACCACAGGAAAAGCATCTGGAGTCCTGGGGGGAAAGCCCTCGCCTATCCCAAACCCTGGCCTGACACACCTGGACACAGCTCAGCCACAGGGAGGCAACCTTTCCCTTGGGGTTCTGCTTGATGTCGCAACAGGCTGGCCAGAGAGCTGTTCAGCTGCTCCTTTGCAGCTTCTCAGACAAGCCCGAAAATCTCCAGCAACCATCCTGCACCAACAGCAAGATGCTATGTGGGCAGGAGCCCGGGGGCGGGGGGGGGGGGGGGGCCGGGGAACCTTTGGAGACTTAGAACGGGTCTAGGCAGCTGCTGAGACAGGATGTCGGACAGGCGGGAGGTGGTGGCTTCTGCCTGGGGCTGGCTCAGACTGCCTGTGCAGTTGCACAAAATCAGCTTGTTCACTTCCTCTGGGCCCCATCACCACTTCCCCAAAACCTTATTATATGTTTACAGAGCTTCATGCTTGCTAGGCAGCAGCAGAGGCTTAGAAAGGACGAGATGGCCAAGAAGGTGGCCTCTCCCGGCGCCCCTCCTTTCCCTGCTTTCAGTCAGTCCGCAAGGAGGAGGCTAGGCCCTCCAGAAGCCTTCCTCCAGGGGCTGATCTGGAGCCACTGTCCCCAGGGGGCTTCCTACTAGGGCCCCGGTGACTCGGTGACTCAAGCCACATGGGTTTGGCCAAGGAGCCAGGGACTCCTGAGGCCAAAGCCTGAGTTCGGGAGACTCACTCAGAACCAGTGCAAGGGGGAAGGGAGAGTTCAAGGTTCCTTCACTCAGAGCCACAGGAAATCCTGCTCAGCAAAGGGGAACTCCTTGGTTAAACGCCCTACCCGCCAGACGCCCACCGACACCACAAGGGTTAGAAGGCCTCCAGGCCCTAATGGAGAGTCCAGAGAAGCGTTCAGTTAGCTCTAAACTTTTTTCCAGGTTGTAGGTACCCAGGAAGCAAGGAGATGTTCAAGCTACAAGAGTCTTAGCGGGGTGGGGGCTTCCTGGCACCAGCTTCAAGGGCCTTAAAGGCTTATTCCGGAGCCTCTGCTGGGGCTCTATGCTCAGCAGTGACCACCAGGTGGCAGCACATTCCCACAGCTGCTCAGGACGCAGGCGGAGGAAAAAACAGAAGCCGGGAGCCCTTGGTGGCACCCCCTTCCAGCGCTGCTTCGCCAGCGAGCTCAGATGGGGC